TACACGTGCGACCTTGACCTTCATTTTATTTCAGAGACAATATGTGCTTTTCCAAGCTACTGAAGGATATATCTGTGTGACCTGTACAGAGGGAACCGTCGTCATGGAGACAAATACTACTGTCGGTGCGATGTGGAAGTAATGTTCTGTTCAAAATTTCAGATGGTATACACTGGTAGTGGACAGCTAGTCCCTGAGGTTTGCCTTTTCGAACAGAGGCACGGTGCGGAATATACACATGTACTTTACGTTTTCTTGCAAAATATCAGATATATGAACATTACGAATTGATTATCATACTAGTGCACTTCCCCATCCAGATTTTGACATTTCTTTTGATAAATTTCAAATTTTCCTCCGTCGCTACCTCACTTCCAAATATTAAGCCATTATCTAGTTCTAATTTTGTACGGCATTATTCCTATTTGTGTTTTGTACATACTGACCTTAAAGAAACGACAGGGAAGTGCCAATGCTTTAACAAAATCTTAATCCAAAATTAAACAGAATAAAATATGGAGAAAATAACGATTTAGGCAAGAAAGAATAAGGCTAGGTGTTCCGTAAGAGTAAGCGTCTTCTGCTTCTTGGCCAATCGGTGTAAGTAATGTCACGTTCTCAAAAATGAGAACAAGGTATACAACAATGGATCCAGTATTTCCCTGATAATTGAATTTGACACTACTAACGTCATAACGCCGTCCTTATCGAACAATGAAATCGAAATAATGCAATTGTCTTGTCTCTTTTAATCGATATCTGTTAAACAGAGCAATGTGCTTTGGTACTTGTTTGTTGGCACTGTTGTATATGATAAAAGGTCTGCTTGTCTAGAGAAAGAGTTCAGTATGTGGAATGTTATGTTAACAGTTGTTCACTTGAAAGTTTCAGTGTTGGAGTATGCTGGGTGGTCAATTAATGTTGTATTCCATAGTCAAGTGGTGGAGTTGTCCAGTAGGTAGTTTTGTCTTGGATTTTACACCCTCTACGAGAGAGAGGACATCTTTAGTCAAACTTATTGGTGATCACGACTGTCGACGGCCCATTGAAGTCTCCATGTAACTTGGACTGCGAGTTTAGGCGTCAGGGTATCAGTCTTTGGTAATCTATACAGAATATATTGTCACGAAGAGGTCTGGACCTGTGTAATATTTGGTTGTCATAGTTTCCAATTGCACTCGTCCCGGCCTGCCCCGTGACTGTTAAGCTGCAAAGCGTCTTAATGACGTAGAAAAAATAACTTCCACAACACAGTGATGGTTCGTCTCGTTTTCTTCTCGATATTTTTTAATGGTTTTGTTTCATTTAGGAATCGTTATGATAGAACTGTAGAATAAGTTGTGAATGCAGTTTTAAAGTATAAAGGCCTACATTTGACCAGAAATCTCGATTGTACTAGAGGCGACCGCTACGAGACAGAATGAAAGGTATTGCTTGGAGCAGGCGTGACTTTTGCAATCTGTTAATTTTCAAATTTCAAATTGCACTCGTCCCGGCCTGCCTCACCTTACCATATATCGCCATTCTGGGTTCGGACTGATTCCATCCGTGTTTTAGTTATAGAACGTCGTCACGTATCTGGACTGTCTAGAGGTAAGTCGATCGTCTGATTCAGTTCACTCGATATAAGATAATTTATATTTCAAAGCCATTTTACAAGGTTTGAACGTGAAAATGATTTTAATTGAAATGATACAAAACAACAAACGGTGGACAATATCTGGTTTTACTTTTTTACCCCAAGTGACAGACTGTGTTGAATGAAACTGAATTCTATACAGAGACCATAATTCTGTGCAATTTTTAAAATCTTTTTGTGGCGACATATAATTGTAGGAAACCTAAACATAAAAAATGTGTCTGTTTTTGTGGAGTCTATTTACAGCTGATTCCTTCGCCAGATCTCTCCGGCACTGAAGGACAGTCTCATTGTACATGGAAGGTCACAAAGAATGAAGATACCATTCCAGTGATGACGAATTACCTCAAAATGACGACAGATTGTAAAATTAATTTCTTCGTTTTCTCGAATAAATTACCATATCTGCCAGAATGTTATATGAAATGTTCATGTTATTGCCAAAATAAAATGATGTAAAGAAAACCATGATGTATTTATCTGTGTATATACATTATTAAATACACATCGTAATAGCGGATTTTTAAAAATTGAAAATAAATGATGAACGGACTCCTGGAAACTCTCGCACTACTAGAAGTCCATTGAATCAGATTCATTGCATGTTAAGTTCCGTCAAAGCAGGGCAAGTGATAGCGTTCAAAACATTTGTATAGAACTTGGACTTTAACTTAAAGCTGGACAAGTGATAGCGTTCAAAACATTTGTATAGAACTTGGACTTTAACTTAAAGCTGGACAAGTGATAGCGTTCAAAACATTTGTATAGAACTTGGACTTTAACTTAAAGCAGGACAAGTGATAGCGTTCAAAACATTTGTATAGAACTTGGACTTTAACTTAAAGCTGGACAAGTGATAGCGTTCAAAACATTTGTATAGAACTTGGACTTTAACCTAAAGCAGGACAAGTGATAGCGTTCAAAACATTTGTGTAGAACTTGGATTTAACCTAAAGCTGGACAAGTGATGGCATTCAAAACATTTGTATAGAACTTGGACTTTAACCTAAAGCTGGACAAGTGATGGCATTCAAAACATTTGTGTAGAACTTTGACTTTAACCTAAAGCTGGACAAGTGATAGCGTTCAAAACATTTGTATAGAACTTGGACTTTAACCTAAAGCAGGACAAGTGATAGCGTTCAAAACATTTGTATAGAACTTGGATTTAACTTAAAGCAGGACAAGTGATAGCGTTCAAAACATTTGTATAGAACTTGGATTTAACTTAAAGCAGGACAAGTGATAGCGTTCAAAACATTTGTATAGAACTTGGATTTAACTTAAAGCAGGACAAGTGATAGCGTTCAAAACATTTGTATAGAACTTGGACTTTAACCTAAAGCAGGACAAGTGATAGCGTTCAAAACATTTGTATAGAACTTGGACTTTAACCTAAAGCAGGACAAGTGATAGCGTTCAAAACATTTATATAGAACTTTGACTTTAACCTAAAGCTGGACAAGTGATAGCGTTCAAAACATTTGTATAGAACTTGGACTTTAACCTAAAGCTGGACAAGTGATAGCGTTCAAAACATTTGTGTAGAACTTTGTGTCGTGTCGACTTCAAACCACAACTCGACAACTAAGCATTGCACGGCCTGTGGTTCGTTACAGTAAAAAAGTTACTTCCCTTTAAGCAGATGTGCCGCGATAAAAAAAGATCTGATAATAAAGGAGTTCGATTTCTTTCAGCTTTGAAGAATTAAACAGTTTCCTTTGATATTGCCTTTTGCGTTTGATCATATAGGTTATAGAAGGGAGCTAACTCTAACCAGGCTACACAGTTAACAAGTTTTATGGTTGCAAACTTACTTGGTACTTAATACAACGTCAATTTTTGTGAGTCCAGATTCCGTCATGTAGATTGTGCGTTTAAATTGCACATCGATAAAAACTTTTGACCTTGAATTAAATCCCAACCTTTGCAAAATGCTGCAGTGTCATTCATGGACAGTAAGACTTGGTTCCGGATTTCGTAATGCTATCAACGGTTGTCGTATTCACAGACGCAGTAACATGTAGATATATTCACAAAACAAATAAGTAATATGTAATCTCTTGTAAACAAAAAGCACATGATTCATTTTCCATCATATAGTCAAGAATTACATCTTCAAGAAAGTTTAATGTATGCTTAATTACGACACGTGATCTAAAGGAAAATTACATGTATGCTTAATTACGACACGTGATCTAAAGGAAAATTACATGTATGCTTAATTACAACACGTGATCTAAAGGAAAATTACATGTATGCTTAACTACGACACGTGATCTAAAGGAAAATTACATGTATGCTTAATTACAACACGTGATCTAAAGGAAAATTACATGTATGCTTAATTACAACACGTGATCTAAAGGAAAATTACATGTATGCTTAATTACGACACGTGATCTAAAGGAAAATTACATGTATGCTTAATTACGACACGTGATCTAAAGGAAAATTACATGTATGCTTAATTACGACACGTGATCTAAAGGAAAATTACATGTATGTTTAATACAACACGTGATCTATAGGAAAATTACATGTATGCTTAATTACAACACGTGATCTAGAGGAAAATTACATGTATGCTTAATTACAACACGTGATCTAAAAGATAGTTAAATGTAAACTTAATTACAACACGTGATCTAAAGGAAAATTACATGTATGCTTAATACAACACGTGATCTAAAAGATAATTACATGTATGCTTAATTACAACACGTGATCTAAAGGAAAATTACATGTATGCTTAATTACAACACGTGATCTAAAAGATAATTACATGTATGCTTAATTGCAACACGTGATCTAAAAGATTACTTAATTACATCACAGGTTGAAGTACCCAAACCAACAGGTATGTGAAATCAGAAAAAAATTACCATTGTATGAAATATCCCGTTTTATTCCGACGATTTCCAGGCGTGATGTCGGTACTTAAATCAGAAATCCATTGTTGTTTCAAATGGTGAGGTATTTGTCAATTCTATTATGCAGTATAATATACCATTAATGACAATCACTTCACATTTTTCCAATTAAGATGAACAACTTGTGTCGTTTTTTGCGTGACACGTTTTATAAATGGTATTTTTTCGTTTATATAATATAGATGATTACAATATTAGTTGTGCACGGGGTGGGGGACAAAATATCAATGTCAGTCACCATGAATGCCCTATTATCTAAATAGCTGGTCCTGTACCTTTAATTTGTAAAAAAAAAATATGTTCAAATTAAATCGATTCATTACATGAACTTGAGTATTATATCAACTCATATGGATAAAGGAGGGAGATCATGCACACCTATTCCCGGTGACTGTTCACAGTGGTAAAACATAGCAAAACGGCTCTGTTCAAAGTCCATTGGAAACAACATGGTTGTCGGGAAATTGGAGGGGAACATTAAACTGCTTCGAAAGTCGCTGCGGCCCCAATTCCGCAAGGGGCTTTATAAGGACGGGAAGTAGGGTGAGGTAGGGTAAGTTTGGGTGGTGAGATAAGGTCGGCAGGTAGGGCGATGATATAAGGTCGGGAGGTAGGGTGAGGTAGGGCGATGATATAAGGTCGGGAGGTAGGGTAAGGTTGGGCGGTGAGATAAGTTCGGGAGGCGGGGTAAGGTTGAGCGGTGAGATAAGGTCGGCAGGTAGGGTATGGTTGGGCGGTGAGATAAGGTCGGGAGGTAGAGGTAGGGTAAGATTGGGCGGTGAGATAAGGTCGGCAGGTAGAGGTAGAGTAAGGTTGGGCGGTGGGATAAGTTCGGGAGGCGGGGTAAGGTTGGGCGGTGAGATAAGGTCGGCAGGTAGGGTAAGGTTGGGCGGTGAGATAAGGTCGGCAGGTAGAGGTAGGGTAAGGTTGGGCGGTGAGATAAGGTCGGGAGGTAGAGGTAGGGTAAGGTTGGCCGGTGAGATAAGATCGGGAGGCGGAGTAAGGTTGGGCGGTGAGATAAGGTCGGGAGGCGGGGTAAGGTTGGGCGGTGAGATAAGGTCGGGAGGTAGGGTAAGGTTGGGCGGTGAGATAAGGTCGGGAGGTAGGGTAAGGTTGGGCGGTGAGATAAGGTCGGGAGGTAGAGTAAGGTTGGGCGGTGAGATAAGGTCGGGAGGTAGGGTAAGGTTGGGAGGTAGGGTAAGGTCGGGAGGTAGAGGTAGGGTAAGGTTGGGCGGTGAGATAAGTTCGGGAGGTAGAAGTAGGGTAAGGTTGGGCGGTGAGATAAGTTCGGGAGGTAGAAGTAGGGTAAGGTTGGGCGGTGAGATAAGGTCGGGAGGTAGAGTAAGGTTGGGCGGTGAGATAAGGTCGGGAGGTCGGGTAAGGTTGGGAGGTAGGGTAAGGTCGGAAGGCGGGGTAAGGTCGGGAGGCAGGGTAAGGTTGGGCGGTGAGATAAGGTCGGGAGGTCGGGTAAGGTTGGGCGGTGAGATAAGGTCGGGAGGTAGGTAAGGTTGGGCGGTGAGATAAGGTCGGGAGGCGGGGTAAGGTTGGGCGGTGAGATAAGGTCGGGAGGTAGAGTAAGGTTGGGCGGTGAGATAAGGTCGGGAGGCGGGGTAAGGTTGGGCGGTAAGATAAGTTCGGGAGGTAGAGGTAGGGTAAGGTTGGGCGGTGAGATAAGTTCGGGAGGTAGAAGTAGGGTAAGGTTGGGCGGTGAGATAAGTTCGGGAGGTAGAAGTAGGGTAAGGTTGGGCGGTGAGATAAGGTCGGGAGGTAAAGTAAGGTTGGGCGGTGAGATAAGGTCGGGAGGTCGGGTAAGGTTGGGAGGTAGGGTAAGGTCGGGAGGCGGGGTAAGGTCGGGAGGCGGGGTAAGGTTGGGCGGTGAGATAAGGTCGGGAGGTCGGGTAAGGTTGGGCGGTGAGATAAGGTCGGGAGGTAGGGTAAGGTTGGGCGGTGAGATAAGGTCGGGAGGTAGAGTAAGGCTGGGCGGTGAGATAAGGTCGGGAGGCGGGGTAAGGTCGGGAGGCGGGGTAAGGTTGGGCGGTGAGATAAGGTCGGGAGGCGGGGTAAGGTTGGGCGGTGAGATAAGGTCGGGAGGTAGAGTAAGGTTGGGCGGTGAGATAAGGTCGGGAGGCGGGGTAAGGTCGGGAGGCGGGGTAAGGTCGGGAGGCGGGGTAAGGTCGGGCGGCGGGGTAAGGTCGGGAGGCGGGGAAAGGTCGGATTACTTCAGGGCTTTTCATTTTCAATTTTCGAAGTCTACAAACGGTGAATGATTACCGTAAACTAAACAACACTAACACGTTACATAAAAATCTTACAAGAGACACATTTAGAATTATTACGGTGAAAAACTGCATCATACAGCGGTTTCATCTTTCTAGTATCGCGCGAATTATATAAATGGTGAAAAAACAAAATGATAAAATCGTTCAACGGGATTTAACTGTAAGTTACTTTATATTTTTCTACGTTTTCTCAACTTCCTGCTACATCTATCACCTACATATATCTATATATTGTAGCTATATCTATATATTGTAGCTATGTTTATATATTGTAGCTATGTCTATATATTGTAGCAATATCTATATATTGTAGCTATATCATCTATATATTGTAGTTATATCTATATATTGTATCTATATCTATATATTGTAGCATATATCATCTATATATTGTATTGTATATATTGCAATATCTATATATTGTAGCTATATCTATATATTGTAGCTATATGTCTATATATTGTAGCTATATCATCTATATATTGAAGCTATATCTATATATTGAAGCTATATCTATATATTGTAGCTATGTCTATATATTGTATCTATATCTATATATTGTAGTTATATCTATATATTGTATATATCTATATATTGTAGCAATATCTATATATTGTAGCTATATCATATATTGTAGCTATATATTGTAGTTATATCTATATATTGTAGCTATGTCTATATATTGTAGCTATATCATCTATATATTTGTAGCTATATCTATATATTGTATCTATATCTACATATTATAGCTATATCTATATATTGTATCTATATCTACATATCATAGCTATATCTATATATTGTAGCTATGTCTATATATTGTAGCTATGTCTATATATTGTAGCTATATCTATATATTGTAGCTATGTCTATATATTGTAGCTATGTCTATATATTTGAGCTATATCATCTATATATTGTAGCTATATCTATATATTGCAGCTATGTCTATATATTGTAGCTATATTTATATATTGAAGCTATATCTATATATTGTAGCTATGTCTATATATTTGAGCTATATCATCTATATATTGTAGCTATATCTATATATTGCAGCTATGTCTATATATTGTATTTTCCATATCTATATATTATAGAGAGAATATTGTAGTTATATCGTTATATCTATATATTGCATGTCTATATATTGTAGCTATATCTATATATTGAAGCATATTATATATTATAGCTATATCATCAGTGGAGAGAACGTTTGTTATTTACAATATTTATGTTTGAAAGTCATCTGGCTTCAATGGCTGTCATATTTAAATCACGTATAAAATTTATTCTTATAATTTTGATATCTGGTTAAATCAGATATCTATTGCCGTATGACATGACACAACATGCCAGGTACGTGATAAATATGCATGAGGCTATATCTAAACTAGAGTAAGATATAAAAGGAGTGTGAAATATATACACCACAGCTAAAACTGCCCATCACTTGCAGTTACATGTATAACAATTTCCTATTAAATATCACTTTTTTCTTTCTTCGTGTCAGGTTTCATTTTTCCATCCGACTCCATGATGACCACTGATGGCAATACAGACATACCTTGTATTGAAGCATGTGTGTTGTGAACCACTTGTAATACAGAAGCGCATTATGGTTAAATAGGAATATATTTTCCTGATTGCGGAAATGTCTTATTTGGAGAGCGCCTCTTCAGCATCTGACTGCCACCATATAATCATCCTCCGCGAAACGCGTTTGCGTGGGATATTAATTTGGGCTCCGTCCGTCCGTGCGTGCATGCGCCCGTGCATCCCTCCGTCCGAGGGGTTTTCCGTGCTATAACTTCAAAACCATTCAACTCAATTTCACAAAACGTTCTGTATATATTAAGTTTGTACCCTAGCCGTTTACTATTGATATTCCCTTTTGATGTATACTTTAACCAAAAACCACAAAGGGCCGGTTTCCAAAACGGCCCCTTCTCTGCTTCAAATTTCCTGTTGGTGGTGCATTGCCCATGCCGTTGTGGTCACAAATATATAAAGTATCAAGATTTAGGTCACTTGGTTTGTTTTTTATGGTTCCTCAAAGTTGTACCTTTCAGAAGCTGTCTAAGTGTTGATAAAATGTGCATGTTGTGTAAAATATTAATGAAAATCTCATCAAATGATAGTCACCGTAAAGAATACATTCATGGCATGATTGTGACAAAAAAATCATGTTTCCATCGCGCCATTTGGCTGTTTTATGGAAGAAACAATCTCAAAAATGCCATTTTCGATGATAACATTTTAGACACAAAAACTGTGTTTTTTAGAGAATACACCCTTTTATGGGCGTTGGATGCAAACCAATTTTTATCCTATTAAATAGTACGTAATATGCTATTGATGAGAGGAAAAATCATCAAAATGTAAGTGGTGGAACATTTTCAAATGTTGGGTTGAATTAGCCTATGGTTGAATTGCCGATTTTCGACTTTCTTTAGATAATTAACAAAAAAACGAGAGTATTTGCTCGGTATGTTGAGAATATGTACACAGATATGAAAAAAGTGAGAGAAACACTTTTTCATAAAAAAATCCAAGATGGCTACTTCGCAAGTCCCCGTGGTTGAAGATATTGGCTGACAAATAGACAGAACAACAAACAAAACGTGTTCCTTATGATTTTGGTTGGTTTTCGCATTTACGGGATTGTTCATAGCTACCGGCGATTGTATAATACCTATATTTATAAGTTTGGTTAGTCACATGGTAACGGGGATCTTTCATATCGAGCCCCAAACATACTTTCGACATATGCACTCTGTTGCCGCATGGAAAACTATTTCAAGTTTTGTCGGAATTTCTTTACCTGTGGTTGTAATGGTCGAGGGTTTTCCAGCGTCCTGTAATACCCAAGGTAGTACAAGATACTGGAGATGTGCGCACACATTCCCATCGTTCTCTCTCCAACTGGGCACTGGCAGTAGTAGTCCTTTATTGGGGCCTAAACATCGGGTGAAACGGTGAACCGTATCCAAACGTTATATTTCGTTTGGCGTTTGTGTCGAGAATGTATTTGACATCGGAGAAGGTCTGGGGAGTGCTGGTAAAGCCACACCTCATAGTCGCCGTCATCACTTAAATGTTCGGCGATGTAACCAGGAGCCAGAGATATCTGATACGTTCCACACGTAATGGTTCTCAAGTAATCAAGATCGAGACGGGGAAACAGTACTTTATTTTTTTTACACATCATAAAACTGTCATGAAAATATCCGCTCTGATATTCAATATAAAAGTTTGTATATAATAAGCTATATAATAGGGTTTCAGACAAGGTTGTTACTAATTTCCCATTTTCTTTCAATTTACAACCACATTCAGGCGGCGATATGAGAACGTTCCACCACATGGAATTAGCTGATTTTTGGTACACATATGAAACAAGTAAAGCTCTATCCGATTTTCTGATGGGAATTTGCATCCAAAACTATATAACGGGAGAAAATTGCAAATTTATGGCATTTTTCTTCATAATTGTGTCTCTGCAAGTGCATTTTCATCCGAGAATATATTTTTTTTGTGTTTTATGAATAAACACGATGTTTTGGAAATATTTATCAAAAGAAATTTATACTATGTTGCGAATTACAATTTCGAGATAACCTTCTTTTATTTACGAACTTATGTCTTTGATGCTGAAATTGACAACTTTATAAAAATACATTTTCACTGAAATTATGAAATCTGGGTGTCGGCAAGGTGTAAAATTATTTTTCGGAAAAGAAAAAAACAGTAGTTGAGCTAGATAAGAAATTATACGGGGGCAGGCTCCTATGGAGAATTAACATTACTGGAAACAGGCCCTTAGTGTTTGCTTTACTTTCTGGGCTACATTTTTGAAACTATCCTACTCAATCAACTCCACAAGACTTTTTTTATATATAAGGTTAATGCCCTAGTTAAATTAATTTTCTGTTGCCATAGAAACAGATATCTCACATCACAAATACCAGTTCTCTTAAACCATACCTGGTCCTCAAAATGTTGTACTGGCATCAAGCTAGTACTCCATCCAGTAGAAGTTCTCAATTTCAACACTTTGTATGGAACAATTAAAGATAACAAATAGAAATTAAACTTGTTGTAATATTAACACATTTATATATGATTGTGTGTCTTTTAAATAGCGGCGCGCGGGAGATAATGTCACGCTTTACGTCATCTTGTTATGTAAACATATAATATATATATATTGTCTGTTGATCCGTAGATACTACACTACATAACGACAAACACAACATCAATTAGAGAAAACACACGTTTCATCAACCTCAGACTGTTTCATAATTAGTCATAATTCTCCAACGTCACAAGTGATATGATGATTAATAGGTCTCCACGGAAACAGACTGTTTAGTAAACATAGTTATAACATGTAATTACCTTAAAACAATCGCTAGACTGCAGAATCCATCGACGTCATCAGCCAGGACCACCTCTCACTGGACGTTTCGACTCCCTATCCTGGGACGTCCTCAAGGTGGCGAGTCGACAGTGATTGGCCAAATCACTGCCCGTCGATGGATGGCTTCCAGCTCAAATCTTCTCTTCTCCACCAAAGCCAGCTGGACGACTTCTCTGCTGTTGTTGATAGTCGTTGAACAGCTGCCCTTGGGTCTCTTCCCTGGATGCCTAGTGTAGAAAACATCCTCCACATGGACTGTGCAGGGAACCCTCTGCACCCCATCTCTACTGGCAAGACCCACACACTCCATCCTTTTGCTCTCACGTCGTCTGCAAGATCGGCGCACTTCCCTTTCTTCCGCTCATGAGCCTCTTGGCATCGATCCTCCCAGTGGACAGTTGGCTCAATCATTACCATTTTCCTCCCTTGCTGTGACCATAGCAGGATATCTGGACGAAGGTTGGTTTGGACGACCTCTGGGAAAACTAGTCTTTGTCCTAAGTCAACCCGCATCTCCCAACTGTTTGCTCCATCCAGTATCCCTCCTTGGTGCACTGCTTTCTTATTGGTTGTCTCTCCAGATCTTACAAAGTTGATGTACGGTTGATGTTTGGTACATTTCTTCTTTTTCTGCCTTTTCTTCTCAAGGGTGTCTGCTAGCTCTCGCAGTACCTTGTTGTGTCTCCATGTATGTCTCCCCTGGGTCAGAGCGGTGTTGCACGATGACAATACATGGGCCAGGTTACCCGGTTGGTCACACAGTGGGCAGTTGGGGTTTTCCGTCATCCCCCATCGGTGGAGATTGGTAGGTGTTGGTAGGACATTATACACTGATCGCAGGAGGAACTGGATTCTACATGGTTCCAACTTCCAGATATCTGCCCATGTAAGACGTCTTTCCGTTGTCTCCCATTTGGTCCATGCTCCCTGTGCTCCCATTTCTACAGCTTTAACCTTCCTGATCTCTTCCTCCATCTTCCTGATGTTATCTTGAACCATCTTCCTCCTACCAGCCGTGTCTGCTGTTCCCCACCTTTCCACCCGCGTTGACCCTAACCCCTGTTTGCCTATACAGGTAATCCCAACGATGTCGCTGTGCCTTAGCCTGCTCTCTGCTTCCTGTACCGCACTGCTTGCTGACCACTGGCGTCCTGTTCGAGTCTCAATTCCAGCATTCCGGATCTTCTCATCTTTGGAGTCTCTAACAGTCATCACCAGCCTAACCTTTGCCACCTTGAACTCTTCTACCAGCGATGATAATGGGAGTTGTAATTTGCCTGTGGTGCTGTAAAGGCCCACACTGGTGAAACTTGGGGGGACTCCAAGCCAACGTCGTAGACATTTGCTTATTTTCCTTTCCAGGATTTCCACTGTGGTAGTGGTAACCTCGTACAAGGTTAGAGGCCACGTGAGGCGTGGTAGGAGCCCGTGTTGGTACATACAAGATTTGAATTTACCGGGCAGTCCTGATTTGTCAATTCTCCTCAAACCTTCTTCCACCTGGCTTTGCAAACGTTTGATATTCTTGCTGTCGTTCAGGCTAGCATCAAACCACTTTCCTAAACACTTGATTGGATTGTCTACGATTGTTGGGATCTCCTCCTGCTGTATCGAGAGCTTGAACTTTCTGGTCACTTTCCCTTTCTTTATCACAACACATCGAGATTTCCTTGGTTTAAACTTCACCCTTGCCCATCCAGCTGTTTCCTCGAGTGCTGACAGGATCCATCGCGCCTGCACGTGGGTGGTAGTCCATGAACCCTCTGTTTGGTGGTACTCGCACTCCTGATGAAGTTTTGGGTCCTCTAGTCTCCCGGTCTGCCGCCTTGATGATCAGGTTCATCCCCATCACAAAGAGTATGACCGATATAGTGCATCCTGTTACAATACCCTTCTCAAGTGCCTGCCAAGCTGTTGTTATCTCCCTGACCGTGAATCGGAGCCTGATGTTGCTGAAGTAGCTCTTCACGATCTTCTGGATGTGATCCGGGATGTGGTAATGTTCCAGCGCCTTGAAAATCAACTGGTGGGGGACAGAACCGTATGCATTGGCACAGGTCTAACCAAACAACTGTCAAGTCTCCTTGATTGATCTTGGCTTCCCGAATTAGCTGTGTGATTGCGCTGGTGTGTTCAATACATCCAGGGAATCCTGGAATTCCTCCTTTCTGCACAGAAGAATCGATGTACTCATTCGATGTCATGTACTTCGTCATCCTCCTGGCAAGTATGGCAAAGAAGATTTTCCCTTCTACACTCAAGAGTGATATGGTTCTGAACTGGTTCATGGTCGCAGAGTTCTTCTCCTTCGGTACAAATATCCCTTCTGCCGTCTGCCAGCATTCCGGAATTTTCCCTTTCCTCCAAGTCACCCTCAGAATCCTCCAGAGCCGTTTCAGAAGTTTTGGGCACATCTTGTATACTTTGTAAGGTATACCACTCGGTCCAGGTGCTGATCCTGATCTTGCTTTCTTCACAACTTCAAAAACCTCCTTCCAGGTTGGTTCTTTCTCGTCTAACTGGAATGTAGGCTCATCCTCCAATGGTATTCTCTCACACTCTCCAAGAGGCTTGTTCTTACCAGCATCAGAGTGTGTCTCCCTCAGATGTTGTTCTATCTCTTCCTTCGAGGCTTCTAATCTGCCAGATCTCTCTCCCCCCAAAAGTGAGGATGTAAACTTCTAGGGGTTGGCAATGAACGCTGCCCTTTTCTTTGCTGTAACCCTTCTGCTCTCCCTTGATCTTTCAGCCTTCTGTAGTGTTGTTAGCTTTGTTCTGATGTCATCTCTTAGCTGCTGCAGTCCGTATCTTTCAAGCTCACTCGCTTTCCTGTACTGTTTCCTCAATACCTTTAACTCCTTCCGGAGTTTTGCCACTTCCTGTTGTCTCCTACTAGGTTGGTGGACCACCTCTGCTCTTTTCCATTCTTGAACACCAAATCTCTCACAGCTGACAGTGTCAACAATGGTCGTAAGTGAAGTGATCTTCTTCTCCACCCCTCCTTGTAGCGTCGCTTCTAGTATACCATCTAGGTCTTCATCCAGTTGTTTCCATGACTTTCTGTCGTCCATCTTTGGCCATTTAACCCGCTGCCTTCTCTCTATGTGGATATTGTCTTCCTGAACCCCCTGGTTTGCCTCTCCCTCAGATGAATTCATGGTGTCTTCCTGCGAAGGCACAACAGTGGAGAGGTCCTCAGCACTGTGGTGTGACCCCTGGCTGGGAACCTCCTGCGTCTCATCAGGTTTTCTTCCTGTGCGCTGCCGTTGTATGTCCTCAGGTCGGCACCTTGCTTTCGCCTGGTGGATCCGCAGTCCACGCATTTTTTTACAGACCTTCCCACATTTGCATCTAGTTTCATTTTCCTTCCCTCCAGTCAAAGTCCGTTGAACTAGCTTAGTCGTTGCCGTGTTATCTGCCATGTTGAGTCTTTCATCCTCCCTCCCTCTCGGAAGACTTTGGGGCTGTTGTTCTCCTGTTGTGCTCGTAGCTGGTTGTAGGTTGCGTCCTTGCGGAAGCTGTGGATTGGGATGCTACCCCTCTCCACCCTGGTACTAGTCTGTTCCTAGTCGTCATCTGTCTTTCCAGTGTCACCATTCTATTCTTGGTTGTCATCCAGTCTTTCCTGGAAGTCACTGGATACTCCAGTTGTACATGTAATTACCTTAAAACAATCGCTAGACTGCAGAATCGACGTCATCAGCCAGGACCACCTCTCACTGGACGTTTCGACTCCTGTATGTATTGTATAGTTATCACATCTGTATGTATTGTATAGTTATCACATCTGTATGTATTGTATAGTAATCACATCTGTATGTATTGTATAGTAATCACATCTGTATGTATTGTATAGTTGTCACATCTGTATGTATTGTATAGTAATCACATCTGTATGTATTGTATAGTTATCACATCTGTATGTATTGTATAGTAATCACATCTGTATGTATTGTATAGTTATCACATCTGTATGTATTGTATAGTTATCACATCTGTATGTATTGTATAGAAATCACATCTGTATGTATTGTATAGTAATCACATCTGTATGTATTGTATAGTTATCACATCTGTATGTATTGTATAGTTATCACATCTGTATGTATTGTATAGTTATCTCATCTGTATGTATTGAGATGATGTCCTATGTTATCGTTTTCACCAAATCACGTTTTAGAATTTACTTTTTAAAATTCTGAACACTGACTAAATGTAAAGAAATAGTATTTTCATGATTTCAGCAGGTGAAGAATCTGTCAATATCGAGTGAGTTGACGACAGTGGATAACATCACAGTCGTCTCCATTACATTCTCGCGGTAGATATCTCACTGGACCGAGAGGTTAGTATTGAAAATGCGAGAAAAATGGAGATGCGGGGGATTGAACCCCGGGCCTTTCACATGCGAAGCGAACGCTCTACCACTGAGCTACATCCCCGATATTTCAATCAACACAGATCGATAATGAAAATTAATTGATTATATTGAAATTCAATCTGTAAAAATATTCAAAGAGTCAAAAGTTCTACAAAATTGAGTATCTATCTATAAGACCACGATATGTCCCCGATGACTTTTTCTTCGTTACTTTTAAAAGACTATCCCACTTTGTCAAGGATAGCAAGTGATTACACAAAAAATATATGCCAAATAGGGGATGTAGCTCAGTGGTAGAGCGTTCGCTTTGCATGTGAAAGGCCCGGGGTTCGATCCCCCGCATCTCCATTTTTAAATTTTGGTCTGTTTTTGCCTCATGGACAATTAACAAATAAAATTATCTATCAGGCCTTGTAAGCCACAGCCGTTTACTCATAAACATGGTGGCTTAGTAGAAATTTGAAATGAGAACTATATATGACGGCCATAGCATTCAAAATACTTGTACTAACGGCCATAGCATTCTTCTCAACCTTCTTCGTAATCGTGATGTAAAGTATCGTGTTGATGAACTCTAAGAAGTTTTTTCAAAGTCAAGACTTATTCTAAGTGAAATTTCAGTACGAAATCAAGAAAACGTCATTCGTGAATCTTTCATTTCTGTTTTATTATGTTAAAATACCTGAAGGCTTAATCCAATATTAAATCAGTAAGTTATGTCGACGCTCTAACTCGCATATAGGGGATGTAGCTCAGTGGTAGAGCGTTCGCTTTGCATGTGAAATGCCCGGGGTTCGATCCCTCGCATCTCCAATGTAATTTTCATACATTCTTGCCTGTTCAACATTTTTTTAAGGATTATATTTGCTATCCCTGTCGACGAGGCTGCTTTTTTCCTCCGATTTGTTAACAATGAAAAGAACAAGACCAGAATTTTACAATAATTGAATACGATGATAATCAATTAAACAAAGGCGGTGCTTCAAGTTGTTTTTTTATTTACAACTGTTTTTACAAAATTACTCTGGTTGGTTAAGCAGAATTAAAAAAAAACCCGACGACGTCCTCAACAGCAAACTAATCTGCTACAAGTTGGCATCATCGACATTTTTCATGCAAGTGCCTAAAAAAGTTCTACCTACTGAAATTTTGAATATTGCTATCATTAAAACAAATAGTATTCCGGCAATAGTTTTGATATTTGGAACTTCTTAAATGAAATGGGGAAAAAAATTAAAAATAATTTGTGGAGATGCGGGGGATCGAACCCCGGGCCTTTCACATGCAAAGCGAACGCTCTACCACTGAGCTACATCCCCTACGATACTGAAGAGTGTTTAGCAGGTACGGCCAGCGGTATGTAAAAACACTGCGAACACTTGTGTTTTGAATCAACGATTCTTATATATATATTTGAAACATATTGTGACAATTTATATCGTTTAAGTCATACAGCAAACTTCTTTAGGCCTGTATCGTGAACAATTATCGGTGGAAGGGAGACAACTCGAAGCATGCTATAAAGAAGACAAATAATGTCAATATAGATTTACAACGTTGGAATGTCTTATTATCTCGTCCTAAATGTGTACGATTTATCTTGAGAACAGCGAAACAATTATGACTTATAGAATGTGGTATATCTACCAAATGCTGATTGTTTTAAGATTCTACGGGGAAAGTTTGCGCGATTTTATGAAAACCTTGAAGCGGCCTAACTTACTTTTAACCTATATCCTGAAACACACCATGCGGAACCTTACCGGATACTAACGAGCATCAGAGCACTAGTGAGGACTTTCATAATGACGAGAGTAAAATTTCCCCTAATACTTACGGAAATCATTATATAAGTACAGTAACTGTAACACAGATACCATACAATTGATAATTGGGTGCCAGTTCGGACACAGACTTTTTGATATAAGCGAACTAATTGTAACATTGATAACATACAATTGATAATTAGGCACCAGTTCGACTCTGTATCAATATAGAAGCAAAACAAAACTTCATTCCTTTTCATTTGTTAAGTAATGACTGTGCAGTTTGATGTATCGCATGTAAATGTATGCTCTTTATTCGACAATTGGACTTGTTCAGCAGTATTCAAAACGAATTCGTCAGTCACGTTTTAATTTGAACTGTGTTAGACTTTCTATAACTTAAGTGCTCATTGTAACAGCTCCTTCGGATGGTCGTACGCTAGCAATACAATTATTATTGGGGAAAACGGTTGAACGGCGACACCGTTTTCAGAAAACCTATTGATGATTTTTTGTTTTTTTTTTTCGTGCCGTTGCTACAAGTTTTAGCCTAGTTACCTCGTTGCTGACCCCGTCAACTTTTGAGCACACACACGCGTTTTTGACCATTTTAAAAGTCTCGGGAACCTTCAATCTGCTTCTTCTTCGGTATTATTTCCGGAATCGGAAAATAGAGTCGGTTCTGTAAATTACATACGGTGAAAATTATCGTTCTCAAAGAAAACAACACAGTAATGTCGTCCATCGAAAACGGTGATATCACGACATTTTGTAACACGACGACAAAGATTATATAGCGCTTATGGCTTCAGTTTTGTGATTCTTGTGGGAACCTCGTAAAAATAACAATATTTTTTTATAATAAAGCATACGGAACGGTGTCAGGTGTAGAAATTGACCGGTGAAAATATGCCCAACGCCGTGAATTCTAAGAATGCACCCTTTTCTCCTGCTATACCTCCTTAGTATGTTCAAAAACCAAAATGGCGGATATGCAAAGTGCGCGAGCACAATCTGCCATATGATATAAAATTGAGAAAGAAAACTCATCAAAATCCAAGATGGCTGCTCGTTCGTTAAGTCATTAGCCATTTTGTTTTCTGATCAGTTTTAAATCAAATGAGCATAATTTGGGATTACATGGAACATACTTTTGAAATTGGAAAAGAAAACTCGTCAAAATCCAAGATGGCTGCTCGTTCGTCATTAGTCGGTTTGTTTTCTGATCAGACTGTGAATTTGGACCGTTATTTTTCTTTTCCTCTTC